CAGGGGGATCACAGTTACCTTCGTGGGGGGTGGGCGGACTGCAGTCTGCATTGACGCTACCACAGGTGCTGTTCTGGCCACGTTCACCAGGGAGCCCCGCTCCGGTCTCTACGTTCTCCACACCGAGCGCTCCCCGGTCGCGTCCTCCCCTCAGGTTGTTGCGTCCCCTCCGGCCCAGGTCCCCAGTCCAGTTGCTGTGTCTAGCCAGGTAGTCGTGTCCAGTCCGGTCGCTGTGTCCAGTCCAGTCGCTGCGTCTTGCTCCTGTCTCTCTCTCGCCCACCGCACCGTCCTGTGGCACCACCGTCTTGGCCACCCGTCGATCCCTCGCCTTCGTGGCATGCTCAGTCAGGGACTAGTCACAGGTCTCCCACGCACCTTCCCGTCGCTCCCCCTCTCGCTTGCCCCTCCTTGCTCTCCGTGCGTCGCCGGTCGCTTACGCGCCACTCCCCACTCCTCCTCCCTTCGTCCGGCCACCGCTCCCTTCGAGACTCTCCACTTGGACGTCTGGGGCCCTGCCCCGACGCAGGGGTCTGGGAGGGAGCGATACTTTCTGGTGGTCGTCGACGACTTCTCCAGGTACACCACAGTGTTCCCTCTTGCGAAGAAGTCCGAGGTGACTGCTACGCTGATGAGGTGGCTTCTAGCCATTGAGGGCACTCGTGGTCGTCGAGTCAGTTGTCTCCACTCCGACCGTGGGGGCGAGTTTCGCTCCGGCATTCTCGGCGGATTCTGCGGCGAACAGGGCATTACCCAGTCCTGGACGCTGCCGGAGTCCCCACAGCAGAATGGGGTTGCTGAGCGCCGCATAGGCTTGGTCATGGACATCGCCCGCACGTCCATGATCCATGCCCGTGCGCACCATTTTCTGTGGCCCCACGCGGTTCGCTACGCCGCACACCAGCTGAACCTCCAGGCGCGTGTCTCGCGGCCCGAGGCTTCACCGACCAGTCTTTGGACTGGTTCCCCTGGTGTCGGGTCGGCCTTTCGCGTCTGGGGCTGCCTTGCGCTTGTTCGCGACACCTCCGTGGACAAGCTCTCGGCACGCGCCGTCCCCTGTGTCTTCCTTGGTTTCCCAGTGGACTCTGCCGACTGGTCCTTTTACCACCCTCCCCTCCACCAGTTCCTAGACTCCCGTGACGTCCGGTTTGACGAGTCCGTGTCCTACTACACCCGGTACCCCTGTCGAGGTCTCCCGGTACCCCCTCCCCCTCTTTTCCTCGCACCCTCTCCTCCTCCTGCTCCCGCTCCTCCGGTACCCCCGCCCCCCCCTGGTCCTGCCCCGTCTGGTGTGTCCCACGCTACCCCTCCACCCTCGGTCGCGCGTCAGGTAGCGTCTCCCTCCCCGTAGTCCTCCTCACAGTCCCCTCAGCAGCCTCCGGCGCTCCCGCGACAGGATCCTGTGGACTCGGTTGGTGTTGGAGCTGGAGGTGCAGCCGCTAGCGGTGCTCGGTCTGGGGGTGCTCGGTCGCGGGGTGCTGGAGCTGGAGGTGCTGGCGCAGGTGGCGCTAGCTCTGGGGGTGCTGGAGCTGGAGGTGCTGGCGCAGGTGGCGCTAGTTCTGGGGGTGCTGGAATTGGAGGTGCTGGTCCTGGCGGTGCTAGTTCAGGGGGTGCTGGAGTCGGAGGTCCTGGCACTGGAGGTGCTGGTTCTGGGGGTGCTGAGTCTGCGGAGACTGACGCTGGAGACCCTGGTTCTGCGGAGTCCACTCCGCCTCCCCACCGCCACGACACGCGTCTCCAGGTTGCCCGTCGGCGTGAGCGTCAGGAGCAGGAGCGGTTGGAGAGGGAGCGGCAGGAGCTGCGGGTGCTGGACCTTCTGGAGCAGCAGCCGCAGCCGCCACCGCAGCTTCCTCTGGAGCGGCAGTTGTTCCCACCTGTGAGTGGCCTGCGGGCCCTTGGCCTTTCCTCCTCTCCTCCTGTCCGCTCCCAGTCTCCTCCTGTGTTTGTTCCTCCGTTGCCTCATCCTGACGACCGTCCGGCGGTCTGGTCTTCTCCTCCTCCTCAGTCTCCTCCTCCCTCTGTCCGTCGCGACTTGATCACTCGTTGTCCTCCGCGTGCTCGTCACTCGTCCCCTGTTACTGACCTCCACACTGCCCTCCTTTGTTCGTCCCATCGTCGTTCTCCTTCTCCTGTGTCCGTTCTACCGTCTCCTCCTCCGTCCTCTCTCCCAGCCCTACCCACTCCTATAACTGACTACTACCGCACTGTTCGTCCTGTTGCCGCACGTGTCCTCGCCACTCTTGTCTCTGACTCTCGTTTCCCTCCGTCGTCTGCCGCGGCTCTTACTGCCGCTGTCGCTGAGTTTGCTACCGCCAGCCGCCTTGACTACGCCACCTGGGTGGTGCCAGCTCCTCCCTACCGTCCTCTGTCCGTCGGGGGTGGGTTTGCCCTTGGCTGTGACGTCCTAGAGGACAGAGAGTCTGAGCTGGAGTACTGGGCAGCCGCTTCTCCCTCTGTGTGTGCCATGCTGCTCTCCCCTGAGGGAGACCCCGACGCCCTTGACATACCGACTCCTCTCACTTACCGCGAGGCAGTGTCAGGGGCGTGGGCCTCCCAGTGGAAAGCGGCTATGGACTCAGAGTTGGCGTCTTGGAGATCCACAGGCACCTACGTCGACGCAGTTCCCCCTCCCAGGGCGAACGTAGTCGATGGCATGTGGCTCTTCAAGGTGAAGCGGCCGCCTGTGTTCAAGGCGCGCTACGTGGCTAGGGGCTTCAGTCAGCGTGAGGGAGTTGACTTCTTCCAGACCTTCGCCCCGACCCCGAAGATGACTACTCTTCGGGTGTTACTCCACATAGCAGCGCAGCGAGACTACGAGCTGCCCTCCCTCGACTTCTCCACTGCGTTCCTCCAGGGCCGACTGCACGAGGAGATCTGGCTGCGCCGTCCTCCTGGCTTCACTGACACCTTCCCACCTGGGACCAAGTGGAGTCTGAGGCGACCAGTCTACGGTCTCCGCCAGTCGCCCCGTGAGTGGCACGACACTCTTCGCTCCACGCTTCGTGACCTTGGGTTCAGTCCGTCCTCCGCCGACCCGTCGCTGTTTGTTCGAGCGGGTTCTACTCCTTTCTTTATCCTTGTCTACGTCGACGACTTGGTGTTTGCTACAGCAGACAGGGCAGCCCTGGCTCAGGTGAAGTCCGAACTGCAGAAGAGACACAAGTGCACTGACCTGGGTGAGCTGCAGCGTTACCTTGGCTTGCAGATCACCCGGGACAGAGCCGCTCGCACCATCACACTGACGCAGTCACACATGGTGCAGCAGGTCCTTCGGCGGTTCGACTTCCAGTTCTCCACCACACAGCCCACTCCTCTTGCTGTTGACCACAGACTCACGGGCCCCTTTCCTGACGAGCCCTTTGAGTCCAGTGGACCCTACGCGGAGCTGGTGGGCTGCCTCATGTACCTGATGACTTGTACTCGACCGGACCTCGCCTTTCCACTCAGCATCCTTTCTCGTTTTGTTGCGACTGGGAGACACCTCCCTGTCCACTGGACAGCTGCTGTGAGGGTGGCGAAGTACCTGGCGACTACATCAGGCATGGGGCTTGTGCTTGGAGGGACTCAGCCAGTGGCGTTGACTGGTCACTGCGACTCTTCCTACGCTGACGACGTGGAGACTCAGCGTTCGAGTCAGGGTTACTTCTTCAGTCTGGGAGCTGGTGCTGTGTCGTGGAGGTCTACACGGTCGTCGTCTGTGGCTACTTCCAGTGCAGAGGCAGAGATCTACGCTGGTGCCATGGCGGCACAGGAGCTTCGCTGGTTGACCTTCTTGCTCGCCGACCTTGGTGAGCGGCCTCGCTCTGCACCGACCTTGTACGCTGACAACAAGGCCATGATCCTCCTGTGTCGAGAGCCTCGACTGGAGAGCAGAGTGAAGCATATTGACGTGAGGTACTTCCTCCTGCGAGAGCTGCAGCGACGCGGCCAGGCACGCCTGGACTTTGTGGCCTCAGAGGCCAACACTGCAGACGTCTTCACCAAGGCCTTGGGGCTTGTTGAGGTAGGCCCTCGGTTGCTGTAGTTTTGTTGCTTGTTCTGCTTGTTGTGTTTTCCTATTTATATCCTAGTGAACTCCTGAACTGGCCTTGTGGCCACTTGCTTGTGCTCGGAATTTGTGTGGTGTCCTTGAGATCCACCCGGAGCTTGTCTTGCCTTGACTGGTCTTGTGACCGTTTGTTTCACCTTGCTTGCCCTGGTGTCCCTCACTTAGCCTATGGGGGTGTGTCAAATGTTAATGTTATGATAGGCTGCAGTGAGGCACTCCCTAGAGGGTACAACATTTGTAGGACTCCTATTTATATGCTTGCAAACCCTAATCCCAACCATTCCGTTGTGCTCCATTCTTGAGATCGATGTATCACAATAAGTCACGAACATTGTTTTCTGAGTATCACAATTAATCACGAACATTTATTTCGGAGTGTCACAATTAACAAATACGTTTGTGACACTTTCTTTTGTGACATGTCCTCAGCGGAATGTACCCTTAGTCCTGATGAAGCTCTTTATACAGTACTCTTATCCAGTTCATTGTATGACTTTCGAGGACCGCACATCCTGCGCGTCCAGTCAGTATGAGCTGGCATTCTTGAAAGTGACGTGTTACGGTAATTTGCCCCTTTGCGCCGATCTTTGTGACGCACTACCATTTCGATTTGATTGAAAATGCAAGGAAATTTACAGTTTGGCGTTTTAAATTCAGATATCTGTATTTGTCATTATGTAAGTACATGAGCTTATAATTTTTACTCATTTATAAGCAAACCCCCTTGAAAAACAATGTTTTATTATAAGCGCAACTGCGCTTATATTCCGGGTGATACGGTACCCTTGCACCCCCAAGCTCCATGTTATGACGGTTATAATCAGTGTGAGCGAGACAATGAGGGTGATCCCTTGACCCTATCTCTTCTCCACTTTTTACTTGTAACATGAGTGCAAGCCACACACCAGGGCCAACGATGCTTTCAGCCAGTCCATCTCCTATACTGAAATTCCTTCTACAACAGAGACTCCTGATTCGCTATAAGCACAAGCAGCCCCTGCTGCCCGAGCAGGATCTCGTTAAGGAAGCTGATGAGTGCCAGCCACACGATGGGAGCGATGTCAACCCCGCCGATGGGCTGGATGACGGCCCTGGTGAGACGGAGAATGGGCTCCGTGGGTGCATAGGCAATGATGAAAGGGAACTCCGACACTGGGAGCTGGAGAGAAAGAGCAGATTGGGCAGTTCGAAAGGGGGATGCGGGGGAGGCGAGAGGAGGGAGGGAAGGGAAAGGGGAGGGAGGTTGATCGCACACACAGCAGGTGGGTTAGATGTCAACACTGGGAGCTGGAGGAAGGGGGGAAAGAACGCGGAGAAACGGATGCGGCAGGAGGGGGAAGGGAGAAGGGGGGAGGGTGTGGAGGAGAGGTTGATCGCACACACAGCAGGTGGGTTAGATGTCAACACTGGGAGCTGGAGGAAGGGGGGAAAGAACGCGGCGAAACGGATGGGGCAGGAGGGGGAAGGGAGAAGGGGGGAGGGTGTGGAGGAGAGGTTGATCGCATACACAGCAGGTGGGTTAGATGTCAACACTAGGAGCTGGAGGAAGGAGGGAAAGAACGCGGCGAAACGGATGGGGCAGGAGGGGGAAGGGAGAAGGGGGGAGGGTGTGGAGGAGAGGTTGATCGCACACACAGCAGGTGGGTTAGATGTCAACACTAGGAGCTGGAAGAGGGGCGAAGGGGGTGGGGGGATGGGGGAGGGGAGAGGGGGGAAGGACGAGAGCGGGAGAGAGGGGAAGGACGAGGGGGAAAAACCGTCCCACTTCAGCGAATGATTGCTGGAGGGATGGAAGCACAACAGGACGGGACCTGGTGACACACGGGCGATGATGGCGAAGCGAGAGAGGAGGGGGGAGGGGGGCGTGTTGGAAAGGACAAAGGGGCGAATGGATGACCGCAGGTCCACTGGAGGGAAGCAGAACAGGACGGGACCTGGTGACACACGGGCAAGGATGGCGAAGCGAGAGAGGAGGGGGAGGAGCAGTGCGGTGGACGTGACAGGAGGAACGGGGAAAGGGGAAAAATGAAGTGCAGGATAGGTTTGGCACGCACGCATGCGATGAAAGACGTAAAGTGGGGGCAATGGGAAAGGGGGATAATGAGGTGCAAGATAGGCTTGGGGCGCAGGTGATGGAAGAGGACTCAACGGATGGAGGTGGGGGGTAGGGGAGGGAGTGGGGGAGGGAGGGAGAGGGGAACGAGAGGGGGAGAGAGAGGGGGAGGAATGGGAGAGAATGGGTTGGCGGAAGGCGAGAAAACGAGGTGAAGGCGGGACACTGAGAGCAAATGATATTGCCACAGTGTACTCATTACATTCCTTCACTCATATATTTATATATTATTAATATGTTTATACATTATAAGCACTGGTCATTCCACAGATAAACACTGGTCATTCCACAGATAAACTTTCAACCCAGCCAGCTGTCACACTCGGCGCTGCCAGGGCATCACCATGACACCAGCAGCATGACGTCACCATGAGTTCACCGTGCAGCACCATGACGTCATCACCACACATGATGACCCACCGTTAGCCCACCCACTCACACCTACAGTCACACCTACCGTGACACCATCCCCTCCGTACACACCCACCTGCGGGTACCACGACATAACGATGCGGAGGATGAAGAGGAAATTAAGCGCCGCGAAAAGTGGGCCCAACACGGCACCCACTGCTGACGCCGCATCTGGCGAAATCTCCGCAATGACCGCCGCGTTTTGCGCTACCGACGCAACGCCCTCGAGTGACACCGCAGAAGCCGACGGCTGCGTGAGGAAAAGAGAAGCGGAGAAAGCGGCGGCGGCAGTCGCGGCGGTAATGAGAGAACGGGGATCGGACGGCGCTAGCTGGTTGTTCAATGCTGAGCGAGCGTCGTATTCGGTCGCTTCGCTCGCGACATCACGATGCCGTTGGATCGGTGATCGGACGGTCAGAGCTTTGCATGACAGCCTTCGACGTCGCGATGGCGAAGAGAGGGTAACAGATTCCGAACCTTTCGCGAAGAATGGAACTCGTAGGGGCGGTTGTCGAACAAAAGACCTTTGAGTTGACTCAGACGATAGCTGAACCGCTGCGCGATAGTGTGACGTTGACAGCGAGAGAACGCGAGCTGCAGACGCCATTTTTTGTTAGGGATGGTTCGACGAACCACGAAACCTACGGCGAGATTCGGTGCGACGACGAACTAGAAGCGTGCGGACTATTCTAGAGTAAAGCGGTGGAAATTGGCCTACGGTGGATACTGGAAGCTACGGCGTGAGAAGCGGAAGTGAAATGGAGAAGAATCGGGAAGAAATGTGATAGGAGGAGGAAGAGAGAAGGAGAAGCATCGAGAATGGGGTTCGAGACCCAAGGCGTGTTCGAGAAGGTACTGGAATCGGAGTGTTTAGTGAATTCGGTTCGGTTGCGTGCGCGACTTGGGGTGAAACGAGGCGCGCGCGAGATTGCTTGGGAAACAAGTTACGTTACGAATTGCGTTTTTGTGTCTTGCCTGACTATGTGCAAGGAAAATTCCTTTTCCTTACTTTGCGTCCCTCCTCAGCGCGTACAACACTGATCCCGCCAACAGCATCCAACAGTAATCCGTTACCACTCGCGACATTCGCCCCGACACTGTTCCCGCCACTGTTCACGACGCGACCCAACCTCACGGTTCGGTTGGTAACCCGCGCTCCGGACCTCCGCCTCTGTGAAGATGGGAGCTTAAGCTAAGAAGCCATAGCTAGGTTTTAGGTTATATGAAAGAGAAATAGGAGAAGAAGGTGAGTTTCACTAGCAGCAATGAGGATACATATAGCAAACCCTAGATGGGTTGTACTCGCTATAGAGCACCCCCACTACAGGCTAGAGAATAACATTCTGACACACCCCCATAGCCAAAGTGGGGTGTAATCAGTACAATGAGCAAGCAGGTATAGAGCAGGAGTTCACAAAGGTAAGCAAAGTTAGAGCTAATCACAGAGGGCAAGTGAGGAGGAGGAGAGACTGTGGAGGGAGAGAAGATGGGAGGCAACGACTGAAGCTGCAGAGGCACGGGCACAGGAGCGGCTGACTCAGAGGCTACCGAAGCAAGGGCGACGGACTACTGGAGTGACTGGCTCCGCGGCTATAGACGAGCGGCAGGAGCAACGGACCCACTGGCGACTGGTGCAACAGGCTCACTGGCTACCGAAGCAAGGGCGACGGACTACAGGCGCTGCAGGCGACAAGACAGCTACCTTCACACAACCTCCTCCAACTGCCCCACTCCCCTTTCACACACCCCCTGTTCAAACCCTAGCTCCACTCCCACAGCACCCCCTTTAAGCCCTAAACCCTAGGCTCCCACACACCCACCCCCCTCAGCGACAGCTGCAGCAGTGGGAGACAAGGGAGGAGGAGGAGCAAGGGGAGGAACACATAACCGCCACCCCCACACCCGCCACCCCCACGCTCTGCACCCCACACCCCCAGCACCACGGAATGCACGGGGGGGGGTAGGGCCGCGACGAAGAAAGGAGGAGCCGAGGCGCGCGACAGGCGTCGGGGCAGGGCCGCGACGGGGCCGCAACGGGGCCGCGACAAAGTCGCGGCGGGCGACGGGGCAGGGCTTGGGGCGGCGCCGCGACAGGGCCGCGACGGGGCGGCGTCGGGCGACGAGAGGGCGCGACGGGGGGCCGCGACGGGAGCTGCGACGGGGGGTCGCGACGGGGGGGGCCGCGACGTGGGGCCGCGACAGAGCCGCGGCGGGCGACGGGGCAGGGCCGGGGCGAGGCACCGCCGCGCGCCACGGGGCGCCCGACGGTCAGAAAACCGCCGCGCGCCACGAGCGCGCGGCGGGAAGAAAAAAGGGCCGCGCGCCATAGGCGCGCGGCAGGCAGGCGCGCGCTCGAGGCGCGCGTTAGGCAGAGTAGTAGCAGCGGAAGCAGATGGGCTCACAGGCCAAGAGCGTAACAGCTCTGATACCATGTGAAGATGGGAGCTTAAGCTAAGAAGCCATAGCTAGGTTTTAGGTTATATGAAAGAGAAATAGGAGAAGAAGGTGAGTTTCACTAGCAGCAATGAGGATACATATACCAAACCCTAGATGGGTTGTACTCGCTATAGAGCACCCCACTACAGGCTAGAGAATAACATTCTGACAGCCTCGTCATTTCCCAACCTCGGCGCCAGGCCCGTCGCGCACCCCATTTTCACGCATTACCGTTACCACTATAGTTTCGCTATATATTATTCGCTCATGCCTTCGCTCATTGTACTCTTGCTTCGATAGTGCAATCTTCGTTCGTTCACTCAATTGCACGCGTAACACTTGGTATTCAGAGCCTACGATCTCTTCTCGGACCGCACCCACACTTTCGCTTCCCCAATATCTCATTTTTTGGGGGGGGAGTAGACGTCTCTCAGCGAAACAAGCACCGCCGCTCGTAGTGCTCTCTCGTAAGCACGCACGGCCACGACAAAGGCTCTCGCTGGGCTTGCCCGACACCCCCGCCATGGCCGAATTCACTCTCGCGACACTGACGCAGGAGCAACTCGGCCGTCTCGTGCGCCAATTCGAAGACTCGGCGCTCGAAATTGCGACACTTACGGCGGAACGCGACTCCGCTCGTCAGCAATCCACGGTGAATGCTCCAGCGCCACCACACGCACCTGCAAATGCACTCGCACAATTGGAGGAGCCGATCGTCATTTCATCAGGCACACCGGCACAAAATGACAGCGTGGGACAGCGCTCAGGCGCAGCCAGTGATGGCGCCGCCCAATCGATGCCTGGCATGGAGAGGAACAGGGCCGCGCCAAGCCCGCGGGAGCCTCGTGAAGCCCGTCGGCACGTGGAGTTTGCGGCGACAAGTGGCGACCACGCCATTATGGCACCAATGCCACTCAAGCCGCAGCGCCCGCCCTGCTTCGACCAGAGCAAGCGTAGAGGTCCGACGGTTCAATCGTGGGTCTTCACGATGAACGTCTTTTTCGACGCGAACTACGTCGAGTCGGACGCAGCGAAGATCCGATACGCCGTCTCGCTGCTGAGGGGCCCCGCCATGGACTGGTGGCGAGTCATCGTGACGTCGCCACGCGCCTACGAGCCACCGTCACCTGGAGTTCATTCTGCGAAACCGCCCAGTACAGCACGTGGGACGCATGGTGCGCAGGGCTCCGGGTGCGCTTCGAGCCGATTGCAGCTTCTATTTCGGCGCGCCGTAGACTGCGTACTTGGCAGCAGCTCGGGTCGGTTCAAGACTACACGAGTGGTTTCCTCGCATTATGCGAGCAAGTTGGCTACATGCAAGAAGCGGAGCGGGTGGACCGTTACGTCGGAGGGCTAAAGCCGGACATCTCGCACGAAATCATGCTACGCGGACTCTCGAATTTCAACGAGATTCTCGCGCTCGCCGAGAAAATCGACAATTTGCGCCGTCTGAGACCGGGGTCCTACTACGGACATCGCCCTCGGGGACCGATCGAGCACGCCACCGTACATGCCGTTGCGACAAATGCAGCTGCCGCGCAGTTTAAGGGGCGTTGCTTTGCCTGCAATCGGCCGGGCCATCGCAAGAGTGAATGTCCAGAGGAGCTGAGGCGCCGCGGAGCAGAGCAGGGGAGGGAGTCTCCAAGGCAGGGAAACGCCAGCAGTCAGTAGGAATCGGGTCAACTACTGACGAGGCTGCCTGGTCGCCCAACCTCACCGACCCTCATCGAGTTACAGTACCGATTCATGCTATCGATCGGGCTCGGACGAATAAGGAGGGTACAGTGACGGATTGCCCAGTACTGATCCACAGAAAAATACAGGGAGCAGCAGCAAAGATTATTATCGACGGAGGAGCAAGTCACAGTTTAGTTAATACCGCGACCGCACGGAAACTTCAACTGACACTTAGCCGGTGTTTTCTGGAGGTAGCGCACGCTTAGTTGACGGCACACCGCTGGCCATACGGGAGAAGGTGGAGAGATTAAAAGTCTGCTGTGGGGGGAATTTCGGATTTACACAGGAAATGTTCGCGACGACATTGGATGGGCACGACAATTTACTAGGACGTGATTGGCTGCGACGGTATAACCCGCGAATTGACTGGACGACGGGTAGCTGCACTGTGCGAAGTAGCGGTAACTGGGTTGAGCTACCTTGCTGGCAGTCGCCCGAGTCTTCAACGGTCCACGTCAACGCCATCACAATGAAACGGGCCGTCGCCGCTGGAGCTGACGTGTACGCAGTGGATATCGCAGTAGTAGGAGAAGCAGAGCATCCGAGCGATATTCAGAAACTGCTGGCAGCGGTACCGCCCGAAGTACAGGAACTGTTGAAACGGTACCCGAAGATTTTTCCCAATGACTTACCGGAGGGACTGCCACCTCAGCGAGTGCACGACCACCGAATAGAGTTAGAACCGGGGGCACAGCCAACCGTACAGCGACAGTTCAGACTGACACAACCCGAGCTCGACGAACTGAGGAAGCAGTTAGATTACCTGTTAGAGAAGAAATTCATCCGATCGAGTTCGTCACCGTTCGCCGCGCCGATCCTATTCACACCGAAAAAAGACGGAGGGTTTCGCATGTGCATCGATTATAGAGCACTCAACAGGGTAACAGTCAAGTCGCGGTACCCCATCCTTCGCGCCGACAG